TAGTCCTTCAAAACTGATATTGATCTCCCACTGAAATCCTCATGCACATCATGAGATCTTTTAGGCACTTAAACACCTGCAGGCACCTCGATTCACTGCAAATTCACTAAAATCCACTTAAACTCACGCCGAGCATGCCCAACTGTAGAAGAAATCTCTGTCTGTCTGTCTGTCCTCCTCCCAAAGGAGAAAGCCCCCTGTTTGAGCTGCACTCTGCTGTGTTTGGAGCCAGGATTCATTCAGTGCTCCCTCGTGCCAGGGTGGCCTGTACCTTAGCCAGTTAAATTGAGTGCATGTTAACTCAGCTAGATCTAATGCTTAACTAAGTTATCTGTTGTCATGGATTTAACTGCTAACACATTTCATATTCCCTGAGGGCAGTCAAAATAGTAGAGCCTCTAAAATAGCTGAAAAGGAAAATCTCTGTATTACCTCAACCCTGAAATTTAGTCTTTGACTGACAGTATTATATACTATTTGAAGGCAATTTCTGAGCAGATAAATATTACAAAAGGGCAAGTTTCTTTCCCAGCAGAGCCACAGTGCCATGCTCCCACATTAGCACAAATTGTCCCAGTTTTTGCCCAACAAATTGTAAAGACCAGACAATGACAACTTGCTAAAAATAAAGCCTTCATTCTGCTGAAATACCTGATGAATAAATTTTATAGCAAGCACTGTTCTGTACCTGGCAAGGTATATTTGTCCCTCCTCACTACATCATGAATTAAACAGGCTTAGAATTTTTCCTTTCCCTCCCCATAAGTACAAAGAGTAGTTACAGATTATTGAGTATCAGAGACCAAACCCACCTAAGAGTACTAAATGAGAGCTAATAAAAATAGAAGCAGCACACAATTTCACCTTCATTACAGACTTTGTTTAGCCCAGCCTGAATTTTCAGTATATTCTGCTCATACTAATTTTTCCTTTTTGTTGTTCCTAAGTACTAATTTCTTGGTGATGTATTTGATTTTCATTATTTTCCAAGTGTAGGCATATCCTTCCTGAAGAAATAACACTGGCAGTATTTGACACGTGAATTTGTTTACCCTAGTGGAAATGAACAAGAGAGATAACATAAGCAGACATAAGTGAGAATTTACATGTAATATGTACTTCAGTGATCTGGTGACAGACTGCTGAGACTGAATAAATTAACTCCTAATATGGTCCATTAGGACAGGTAGGTCATCTGGCGAGAGAAACTGAGAGGAACAAATCCAACGAGACAAGACTGTTGAGGTCTGGAGAAGTGGCTTTCCATCTGTTACCTGGAAATGCAGCCTGTCCTCTCTGCCACCACATTCCTGCAATGTCTAACACACAGCTTGTCTCCATTAACTAAAAGGCCAGTCTGCTGTATTGGAATGACCAGGAAGGAGGAGGTACACAAAAACAGGAAAACAACATCAGGGGTTTTCCTCCTGCTTCTATATGCATTATCATTTTCTTACTAATAAGAAACTAAGTGAAAAGAGGGGCATATGGAAGGAAAAGAACCAGATCTTTCATGTGGAATGAAATCAAACAGAGCAGCCTCAGCTGACATTAGTTACACGTGCAGCTGCAGCACATACATGTTACACAACAGGGTTCACAAGCAAGAAAGAACTTGGACATGTCTGTGCTATCTGTGTCATTTCTAACTATTTTGAACAGCTTGAAGAGCAAGAGAAGCAGTGGTGCCCAGGATGATCTGTACTCACAGCCATCAGATTTCTGAAGTCTGAAAAGAGAGTGTAGAGACAAGAAAAGGGGAGGACTCTGTCTGGAACAATCAAACTCCTATAAAGCATCTCAAATATGGTGTCAGGATAATTAGTAATCAATAACCTCACTAGTACTCCAAGGATTTTAGAATGCACTCCCTCTGTGAAGAACAAGTTGGACACAAGTAGCTGCAGGAGCCAGAAGGAGTGGTGAGCAGAGGCAGGGACGTGGTAAGAACTGTTGAGCTAAGCTCCAGGCCCAGCAGAGAATGCTGAAAGCAGCAGGCCAGCAGAGCATTGCTGCTGCCCATCCTTCCCTGTCCATGGTGCTCTCTGTGCCACGCTGCACACCCCGACGCAAACAGCGCTGGATTTCACTCAGCCTGCACTGCTCTGCTGTCCCCCACAGCTCTGGCAGGGACCTGAGGAACACAGGGAGGGCTCTCTGCCCCAGAGGTCCCCCTGGACCCAGGAGCAAATGGGCACAGGGGCTGCACAGCGCACGCTGTGTCACTCCTGAGGCCCCAGCACTGCCAGCCTCTGCACAGCACTGCTGGCCTCTGCCACCATCCCACCCCAGTGACTGAGGCACAGGGAGCAGCAGGCTCCTCAGGGACATCAGCTCACCTGGGAGCCAAGGGCTCAGCCTGGGGAAAGCCCACCCCAGCCACACAACTAGAGAGCGGCTCCCCAGAGGCACCAACATCTCACTGATTCCACCCATCTTCACAGAGCCATTTTCTCTGCGTTACGCTTGAAATTCAGTACATCTCAAACAGAAAGGGAAATTCACTGCATCTCAAACAGAAAGGGAAAGGACATTACTTCATATCTCCAGCCAGGCTTTTCTTATGTTAATGAGGCACCCAAACAACTCTTTTACTTATTGCTCCTTTATGAGCACAGATGGCCTTGGAGAACATGAACCAAATGGAAAGTGTAGATTTAACACAAAGTTTTTGACCCATACTAAATCCCATGCAAGAGCTTGAGCTTTCCAACTCAGTGGCCCAGCTTTATTTATTTATTTACTTACTTACTTTTGAAGCAATCACTGAAACATTAACTGTATTTAGGGACAGGAAAACAGAGGGGTCTCAAATGTTAGGCTTCCTCTTGCTGGCCACAAAACCACATGATGGGGGAAAAATAGAAAAACAAAGGTTTCTCTGTGTTTTATGTTCCCTTTCTGACAGATAAAAAGCAAAAAAAGGGGATGTTAAGATGGAAATTGTAGAAAATCCTCTGGAATAGCAGAGAATAAAGAGGAGACAAAGCAGTCAACACTGAAGTTTCGTTCTCCATCCTAGAGAGCCATGGCATGAAATTAATTTCACTGTTGGCTCCCCACATTGACTACTGTTTTTCCAAGACATGCTAAGGACTATGAACTCAGCAAGGAAGGTTGCCCAGTGGAATGCCTAAAGTAGAATCAGAGCGCTCCCAATTCAAAGTGAGAACTGCAATTTCTTTTTACTTCTTGCTCCATTTGTCTTAAAGGAGATTTACTTTCTCAGATGATTTGTTATGCAGCCTTCATTAGTGCTAAGGTGTGGCCTAAAAATTAGGAAGTACAAATTTGATCACTTTAAGCTAAAGTTAGCTTAGTTTAACATCTCTTGGCAGTGCTCTAGTCGTGTACAGCAGAGGAATTTAGCACAAGTGGCTCATAATTCACATGGAGGTCAGTCTGTGATGGACAGCTCATAAACATGCAGCACACAACAGGATGACAGCATAAACCAACCCTCAAACCCAATTCAGCCCTTGAGCAGCCACAGAATAAGGTAAGAAAAAGAAAAAAAGCTCAAATACCTTGTATCCACAATTCCCAAGGTAATTTCGCCCTTTGATAAATCCTTAAGATAAAATCTTGACCACTACCTCTGCATTTCCTCTCCTTAGAGCAAAGGACTATGATGGGCAGTGGAAGAAGATAAAATCCAAATAAAGCATTTGTTCCACATTATTCACTATGAAAGGGTAGAATTATGCAGCTTTCTCTTAACCAGCTTGTCCAAACCATACAACAAACACACAATAATTAACACTAAGTGTAAAATACTGCTATTTGCAAAAGGGATTAGCAATATCAGGCTTAGGGAGTCCAGCTAAGCAGAGGGTTCCTCCCAAAACAAAGAGAAATCATCTTGCTTATCTGTGTTCCCCTGGCCCTGCCAAACCAAGCACAGCCTTTGCAACCTGGATCTGTGGCTGAGCACAGCTGAAGAGGACCCCAGGCTTCAACCACCTCATTCACCAGGAAGTGATGGAAGAGATTTCCTATGTCTTCTAACACGAATTTTGAGAGATGTCATACTACTCCAGCTGTCTGAACTAGGGCACACTTAGGCTAATGGACCTAAGGATGTAACAACAAAATTTGGAAAGATCACACAAAATGGGAGCAAAACAGAAACAACAGCGGGACAAAAACCTGAGCAGTTGCGTGATTCACTCTTTTGATAACGTGCCTTCCACACTGGCACTCTCCTGCTACAGCACTCTCCTGCTACAGCCTGTTTCAGGATGCAGCCCAAGTCTGCAGGGAAGGGAAGCTTCCCTATTTGGAAGGAGCAATGAAAACTGTGATTGGAGCTAGATGTCAGGGAAAGGATCCCTACTGACTTTAAGAGCCTTTGGGTCCAGCTCCGAAGTGGGGTCTGGTTGGGTAGCACCCTCTCCTCGGCTAAGAGCTTCAGGTTATTTTTCTACACCTTTTAGCAGCGCCTTGGACTTGAGAGCCTTGCGTTCGCCTGCACACAGCACCGCCAGCGCCGCTGCCTAGTGTGGATGCAGAGCTGTTCCCTTCGCCCAAGTCTATCCGTGCCCGAGCTCCCGCAGCCCAGGGATCCTCTGCGGCCGTGCAGGGAACAATAGCGGCGGGGAGCTCCCGGCCGCCCGCCCCGCACGGCCGCCGCTCCCGCCCGCAGCCCCGGGCGCCTCCGGCCGCTCGGCGCTCGCCCCGCGTTCCAGCCCGCGGCGGCGGCCTGCGGCGACACCCCGCGCCCCGGCTCTCCGCCGCCGCCGGCAGCCACGGCAACTCCGGCCGGAGCACGGCCCGCCCGGGGAGGCAAAGTTTGTCCGCACCTGGGACCGCGCCCCTCGCACCGCGCCCGCGGCTCCGCGCCCCGCCCGCCCTCACGGGCGCGACTGCCCCGCGGGGCCGCCCGGCGCCAAGGCGCCACCTGGCGGGGCCCCGACGGGCCCGCCGCTGCCCCCGCTCCCGTGCCCGCCCGTCCCCGCCCGGGTCGGCGCCCGGAGCCGGACGGCGGGCGCGGTGCTTACCTTGCGCAGCATGCTGGGCGGGCGGCGCCGGGGGCTCCCCGCCGCGGCGCCGCGCTCTCCCGCCCCTCACGGCGCGGCGGCCCCTCCGTGCGCGCCGCCCGCCTGCCCGCTCTGAGCCGCGGCGCAACGCCGCGCCCGCCACGAGACAGCGCGGCCGCGGGGGGGGCGGGCGGCGGCGGCGGCCGTGGGTGGGCCCGGCCCCTTCCCCGGCCGCGGCCCCCGCCCGCTGCCCCGCGCCGGGGAGGGCGCGGAGCGGGCGCCTGGCTCCCGGCGGCTCCGTGTCACCCCGCGTGGGCGCCCTGAGCGCTGTGGAGAGCCCCCCGCGGAAAGCAGCGCTCGCCCCTCAGCCGCGCCGCTTCAGTCCGGGTCACGGCAGGGCAGGGCCGGGGCTGCTCCCTCTGGGGATGGCTGGAGGGTCCGAGGAGACGGCGGGAGGGATGGCTGGAGGGTCCGAGGAGCTGGATGGCTGCATCGCCACAGCCAGGTTCCGTGGGAAGCTGCTTGGACCGCGCTCCTTTGGGTGCTCCAGCTTCTCGTAACGAAGCAAGTCTCACTCGAAGCAAATCACACACATTCCAGCAGCAATTTACTTTTCCTGAAAGCTATAGCACACCATCAGAGTGACAAACCGTTCTCAAGTTAAAAAAGAATCCGATCTCAGAAGATATTCTTTGTTAATTATTACGCACTGTCTGTAATAATGTTAAATGCAAGAATGCAGAGCTCCCGCTGTCGGGTGTGTGGAGGTGAATCTTGGCGTGTTACACCTGCACACACCTTCCGGGTGAGCCTGTGCCAGCAGCCAAACGCGGAGCAGCAGCTTGGGCTCTGGCTCGGCAGGAGAGGACTGACCGCACATTTCACATTATGAAGGATGCCACTTATCTTAGAACAACCCATATTTCAAGTCTTCTCTGTGTCCTGGTACATTCTTCGAGTAACTTTTCATGAAACCTCAGTCCTGTGAGCGTGTAGCAACCCACAGAAATTAATTTCTAGCAAGATAGTGAATAAATAAAAAGCAGACAAGTTAGAGAAAACTGTCATCACATTTACACTTGAACTTGGTTTGACAGGAGCAGTTTAGCTGAAGAAAGAGAATATTCACTGGCAGATTAGTATCAAGTTTGTAACATTGTGTCATGGAGAGCAGCAAGCCAAGAGTACTTGGCCATCAAATTTTGGCCATCATGTTTGTGATGCTGAGTCAAATGTTGCTGCTTTTGGTCTTGTGGTAGGTTTATGGTGTCACCCAGCACAATGTTGCCTTGAGGTGCTCAAATGGTGGGGTTGTCACTTGAGTGGAATGTGCATGACTAGCAGTTTGCTTTCCTGGTTATGGCCAGTGTCAGCTATTGGGCTAAGATTTGCTGTACTCCTTTTAGCATGTTGATTTGTGTCTCCTGCTGCGGGTTGTTAGGTACTTCTGCTCTCTCAGGACTGATTGTACAGACTTCAGTAGTGCTCCTATTCACTTGCTCACGTTGCCTCTTCCCTTTCTTTTGTCTCCTGAAAATGCAGAACCCTGAGTTTTGTCAAGATGTCCATATTACAGGTACAGTAGGATGTTCTCAGAGTCACTGTAGATGACCATGGACAGAAATCAGCAGTGTTTCCAAGAATCCTGCCTGCTACAAACATTAACTCTTCTTGGCCACTACCCAGTGTAAAATGCTGAGACACATCCCTCTTCATGTACCTGCTGTCACCCCAGCTGTGACAGACTCTCACACAGATTTCCCTTTTTCCAGACATTCCTCTCTTGCATGAGGTTTGATTGGGTAAGCTTGATACAACTACTAGTTTACTAATAAGTGAAATGGGATAATAACAAAGAATAAGAACATCAGCAATAATCCTAGATCATATACATAGGGGAATCTTCTCTGGGTATTTAGCTTGTTTTCTCTGTAGTTACACTCAGGAAAATATATGTGCTCTGAAATCATGTCTTTTTTGAAGAAAATCTCAGTGTGTGATTAAAAAAGAGTTGAAATACTGAAATTTAGGTGTTGCAATGCCAAAATTACATGTGTGGCGTTCTTAGAGTACTCCAACTTGGCCTTTTATCCATTAGTAGGATCCAATACATTGGAACAGGTTTCATCTCCTGATAAGCCAGAAACTATCCAAAGAGAATGCAACAGAAAGAGATTTTTCAGAGAACAACTTCCTTGGGACACCTAACAACAGGTTGTGGAAGTCTGGTTCCCATCTCAAGGCCAGAGCTTCCATCTCCTCAGTTCAGGGCTGAGCCATTTGCTCCATCCTGGAGATGGATCCTGGTGTCCAAGGCTGTGTAGATAACTCACCTCAGTGCATGTTTTTAAATTGCTTTCTCGTAACATCTCTATCTCCTTGCACTGCTGACCTCTGCATTTTTTTTCTGGAGCTGTAAAAATTTAAGTACATCCCTTTATTTTGAAAACATAAGCATTTTAAGATAGAGGAAAAGTTTGGAATCCTGACCTATCGAGAAATGTGGTGGGTAGGGATTTTTGATGCAACTCCAGGCCATCTGGCCAAGCAGCAGCAAATAATTAAATTTACTGACTTGTCTTGTCTTGTCTGAGATAACATCATTTCAGGGCCTCAGGACTGCTTGTGTTTCCACTCTTTCATCCCATCATGGTGATTTTGAGATTTGTGGTGTTTTTTGTTGGTTTTTATCAGTTGTTATGACTGGACATAGCCCTTGGCACCCACGTTCTCCTGCCCCTCTGCTGCTGTAGCTTCATGTTCCTGCTCAGTACACTCACTCTTACATCAGTCTGTGTGCCCCTTTCCTCTCACACTTTTAGCCCACTTTCCTTACCATCTTCAGAGGAAGTCTGAACACAAAGCAATGTGTGATTTGGTGGAACTGATCCACTGTCTGCAGGAACAGACCCTCTACAAAAACATACTCCCTCCTCCAAAAGCTCTCTAATAAAAATAAAGACCCACGAGCATTGTACGATTATTTTCAAGCTTGTTTTGACAAAGCCATGTCAGTTTGCTTATTTTTAAAGAGCTTTAGGCACATGCAATAATGCCACTTAATCAGAATATGATTGGTGGGAATTCCACCCCATGCTGGGTAGCTCAGATGAAATCTGGATAACTGGAGAACAACTGGCATTCAGCATGAACACACCTGCTTCTTATTTCCTCTGACTTTCACTCATGTTTTTTGGTGTCTTCCTTCCACAAAACTTCTCAAATCAATCTGTCTGCATTTCCTTCCCTCCAAAAAGCTTTAGGTAACAGTTTGCTGCCTTCTCATATTTGGGTAATTTTACAGTTTTACATTACCAGCTGAATGGTGCTACACTACAGTGCTCCCAACTTGTTCCCACTAAGGATAATAACACCAACGTTTTGTTATTTTTAATGTCATACTTTGCTTATCAGTGCCCAAAGCCAAACATGAAGAAAAGGTGATGCAGTTTCCCATTAAGGTATCACTAATATAATATACCATTCTTTAAATACTCTAACAATTCCTCTATGTGCGCGTTTTGTTGGCAGTTTTGTCCTTCTGGAGGAATTAATCATTTTTTCCTGGACCAAACCACTGTGCTTCTGACATGTACTGTCCCATCAAACTGTTTATCTGCCAAAGTGAAATCCTGGATAAAAGCATGGAATTTTCCAGTTCTGCCTGAACAAGACTTGTGCTGATTGAGAGGTTCTGTCTGGATAAACACAGCTGGATGACAGCCAAAGAGGTAGGGCTAGTTTGTATCATCTTCCCTAAAGACTGCTACAAACTTCTTCTGGCCTGTCCTTATTTTCCAGTTTTTCACAAATGAGCCAAAAATCCTGAAGCAAAATACATTCCTTGTCTTGTCCCTCTGTCATTGAAGTCCAATTCCCACAGAAATTCCCCCTGCTACTGTTTGATCTGCATTTACAGGGTGAAAAAACCCACAACATAAATTACTTTTATCCTCCACTCTTTGTCCAATGGTGTCGTCCCTCAGCAGCTCCTTGTATTGGGAAAGACTTTTTTTTCCTTCATCCTATCTGCAAGAATCCAGCAGCCCATCCCCTAGTGCTGCCCCACCTCTCTGAGGTACAGCCTCCCACTTGTTTTACTCTTCCTCAGCCCATCAGCCAGTTGCCTCCACACATCTTGCTCAGTGGTGTTGACTCCACTGAAAGTAAAAGAACTCTTACAAAAGGGACATCTGAGCTTTGGGCTGACTGGTTTACTTAAAGTTCTGGTGTCCAGACAACTGATAGTACAGAGCATTCTACCAGAGCAGTTCAAGGGGTGCCCTGGAGCACACCTAGTATCACCAGGCTCCAGTTTCATATATGTGAATATAAAGATTTTAATTTTTTTTTCCCTCTTTGGTGTGTACGGAATAATTCTGTCAGATGCAAAAATGAAAATACATTGTAGAGTACAACCTGCTCTTTAAAGGCAGCATGTTTGAAATGCCTGTAGCCAGCCTCATTTCTGCGGGTTTGGATGCAAAATGTTGCTATGGGAACAAAACCGTCTCTCCACCCAATCAGCCGAAGCAAGAGGTGGGTTTTTTTTAAATAATGAGATAGTCTTTATCTGCCCTTCACCTAACCCGTCAACAGAAGAATGAGAACAACGATTTTCACAGCCAAACCATGGAAAATGTGACTCACTGCCAAAAAAACCGTATGAGCTTCTTAGGTCTGGGAGATTGACGTCTTATTGTAGAACATGAACAGACAATAAGACAAACTGACAAATCAATCTCATTTGACAGTGCAATCAAGGAAAGAAATGGGTGTGAAACTGTTCAAATCTAACTAAACCTTGCTTTGGGAGGGAAAGCTTGAAGAGGTCTTCAAAGGCATTGAAAGAGGAATAGTGCTAAGAGAGGAAAAGACTTTACATGGTTGCGTGATTGCCTCCTTTGCCCTGCACGCATGTTGAGGCTGGGTTTATGTGGGGATTTTGTCTTCCATGAGCTGGTCCTGCCCATCCCACCACAGGAGTGTCCAGGGTGTTGTCACACAAGCTGCACCCTGGCAGCCTGCCAGAGCCAGTCAGCATTGATTCCCTCAGTGACCAAT